CCTAACCCTCTCTAACCAACGCTAACCCTAAACCTAACCCTAACCCTACACTAACCCTAACCCTACACTAACCCTAACCCTACTCTAACCCTAACCTGCTGATACCACCTCTAACCCTAACCCTACACGCTAACCCTAACCCTACCTTAACACTAACCCTACACTAATCCTAATTTGCTGAATACCACCTCTAACCCTACACCCTAACCCTACACTAACCCTAACCCTAACCCAAACTCTAACCAACACTAAACCTAAACCTAACCCTACACTAACCCTAACCTGCTGAATACCACCTCTAACTTTAACCCTACACACTAACCCTAACCCTACCCTAATCCTAACCCTAACCTGCTGAATACCTCTAACTAACACTAACCATAACCCTACCCTAACCCTAACCCTATCCTGCCAAATACCACCTCGAACCAACGCTATCCCTAACTCTAACCCTAACACTAACCTGACCCAGTAGTACTATAAACAAATCTTTAATTATTTTTGCTGAGAGGAGACCACCATCTCAATGACGCTGGTGGGAGCAGGATAGGGATAATGCACCCATCCTTGATCTCTGGAGTGGCTTTTTGATCGCCCCCTCTGAGACATCATTGACAAGCATAACCAATGTAGCCAACTGAGTGCAACGGTGAGACAGTTTGAGAGGATGCTCTCCTCTCAGCAAAAAAAGAAAATAAAAAAAGATTTGTTTATAGTACTGGGTTCAATTCAAAGTGTTGGCCATTATATTTGAAGCCCTCTGTGGCTTCGGGGTATCTGAGGATCCAGGCTATCCGAGAAGCTGTGTTGCTCCAGTGGGATGTGCCCGCCCCACTCACGCTGGCAGAAGAGACAGAATTGCAAACCCCATCAGCCAAGGAATTGCAGCTGGTGAGATCCAGGGGAAGAGCTTTTCTCTACTATGGCCTTTGCCCTTTCGAACATCTTATAGTTGGGGTTGAGATCCACCCACTTTTCCTGGCCTTCAGGAAAAGCCTTCAAACTTAACATAGGGCCCTGAAGGAGAAGCTGTTGGCTGAGTAGTCGATTCAGTAACAGAAGGCACCACCACATCTCTGCTCCAAACCCGTGTTTTATAGGTAGTCCTCAACTTACAATGGTTCATTTGATGACCGTTTGAAGTTACAACAGCACTGAAATAAGTGACTTATGACCATTTTTCACTTTTATGACCAATGCAATATTGCCCTGGTCACATGATTTACATTCGGATGCTCGACAACTGGTTCATATTTATGATGGTTGCAATGGCCCAGGGTCATGTGATCATCTTTTGTGAACTTCTGACAAGCAAAGTCCATGGGGAAGCCGGGTTCACTTAACAACTGCATTACTAATTTAACATTTTCAGTCATTCACTTAACAAATATGGCAAAAAAAAATGTTGTGAAATGGGGCAAAGCTCATTTAACAAATTTCTCACTTAGCAACATAAATTCTGGGCTCAATTGTAATCCGAGGAATACCTGTACAGTACTTTGTTTTAACCTTCTGTCATTTTAATCTGTTTTTATAATTGTTTTCCTGTTCATATGTTTTATTATGCTGTAAGCCACCTAGAGTTGCCTTGAACTCAGGTGTGCACCATATAAATTTAATAAATAAACAATAATTGTGAAGAATGCCAACATGAACAAATGCCCAGGCGTATCTTAAAATGCTACCGTATATCTTGTGGGCACAGGATCTTCCCTATTCACATCTAACTTGACCTTTTGTTTGGTGAGATCTACATGATATTCCCTTGATCATGTCCCCAGTCGGCTTATGTTGCCCTTAGCTGAACTGTTTCAGGGTTAAAATTGCATTGTGTAAAATCTAGAAAAAAAATTTCTCTACTCCTTGCCTTGGGAGGGCAATCAGATGTGACAACAGTGACTTGAAACAAATAACCTAGTGCTTGACAAAAGTGACCACAAAATTTCATTCTGGTTTCTTTTTCTGCAAACTCAAGCCTGGAAGCCACTTCAGCAGGAAATATTGTTAATGCTGGTTATTGGGAAGGACTGGAAAATCCAAGGGACGGGCAGTAGAATTAACTCTTCCAATAGGGGTATTAAAATGAGCCTTTCCCACTTCAACATTTTGTTAAGAGTCCAGTATATAATAAATTATAAGTTATGATAAATAGTAGGACAGTTGTATTTAGAGGCTGTGACTGACCTGTCCTTCAACGTGTTGCCAAAAATGATGGATGACTGTGAATTCTGTGTCACACATAAGGGATGACAGAGAGAGAAAAGGCTATAAAGTATGAGAGCCATTTCCAGCCATCTCTGAAAACATTGATCATTTGAGCATGTTTTGTCATTCTTACGATATAGCAATAGCCTGTAGGACACATTTAGATTCTTAAGGAGCTACCCCAGATACTGCAAGCTGAGCAGGTCACTTAAACAAATTTCTTTGTTCATGCCACTGCTGCTACAATTACAGTATGCTGAAGAGTGTGGTCAGAAAACTCAACCTCTCGTCTGGTTGTCTGTTGTGCAAAAAGCAAACAGCGTAGGTTAATTGTTCGTTTGCACATCTCAAGAGACAACATGGTAGGCCTGATGAAAATGGGGATTCTCGAGGCACTCTGTTGTTGCTTTCAGTTTCCTCCTGTGAGCAACATAATGATTAAAAAAAGATGTACAAGGGAAATGAGGAATTTCTTGACTATCTGAAGAGGTTCTTATCCCATTTGGACCATTGCAAATATTCGTTTTTTGTGTGTATGCTAAATGAAAATTAAATTTAAAAAGGATGTGACTGCTTCGTTTGCACATAGTATCAGAGTTAAAAGACCACAAGGACAACAGAGAGAGAACATCCCAAGTCATGCACTTCCACGGACAGTTAATTCACTGGAGTAACAGATTCCTAGTCAGCCATGTTGTGTGAACATAGCTGTAGTAATTTAAAATAGATAACAATTTTTGAAATAAGCAGATTGACTTTATATTTAGATGCACTTAAGTATACTCAGCTCAACAGATCGAACTGCATAAAGTTGAGATCTGATCTAATGATAAGATTCTTATATACAGATAATGATTTACAAAATGTAACTTTTTTATAGATAAACATACAGAAAGCGAACTCAGTAAATAAGGAGGAATATGACACTGTTGTGAAGAAACTAGAGGTGTGTAAGCTTCCATACTAATCTGTGATATTTCTTCTCTTGTGTAAATATAAGGCAGAGATAAGAAAAAATTCTCTGATATCTGAACATGTATTGTTATTTCCAATGGTAAAAATTACACTGTAAGATTATAATGGTTTCAGAGTTACCTGAATACTTGAAAGTTGGTGAGAACAAACATGATACATGCTGACTAACGTTAAGTCTATAACACACATTCTTCAGTTGTACTTTAATTTGCAGAAAGAAGAGAAAGAACATGCAGAGACCAAGAATACCCTAGCTATAACATCTGAACGGCTGCAGTTTGCCTTAGGAGAGATTGATATTTTGTCGAAACAGCTTGAGTGGGAGAAACAAGCATTTGACAAGGCGTAAGCTTGTAACTTGGTGGGGGAAACCCTATGAATAGAAGTGGTTTTACCGTTTGTCTGGGGTAAATTATTTCACCCTCCTTAAGTCAGTCATCACATAGTCTAATAGGAGCCAATCTGTGCCCTTCTCTCACCTTCTGATCCTGCTGGTAGCAGCTACAATAGCAATAGCACTTAGACTTACATACCACTTCACAGTGCTTTGCAGCCCTCTCTAAGTGGTTTACAGAGTCAACATATTGGCCCTAACAATTTTGGTCCTCGTTTTACCCACCTCGGAACGATGGAAGGCTGAATCAACCTTGAGCCTGGCGATCAATCATTTAAATGCTGGGAAAAACAAAACATGAAGATATGTAAAGTTAAGGTCACCTCAGTCACTGGTTTCAATAAACTTAGACATACTTAATTGCATTAAATCAGAAGCTATTTATTTCTGGAAATATTGCCAGCAGATTTAAAACTTACGACAATGTTCTGGAATGTGGAATGTTGTTGGTTAATATTGAGATTAGACTAGGAGTCCCCGAATTCTTCAACTCACCAACCCTCTCATGAAGTATCAGATTGTTCGTTGATCTCCAAATATTTATTATATGAAAATAATTTAATAAATGCTATCTTAAATAATAGTTTTGTGAATAATACTACTAATCACACAGTGACGAATAGTCCCTATTGACCGCTTTGAAAAAGATTTTATTAAACCAAACCTGTTGACAGTCCCTTTCCAGATACTGCCATTGGGCAATGCCCACATTAGGAGCCACATATTAGTAGAATTAATTGATCACAACAAGAATACTCAATGCTACAAAGAACATGTGAATTTGAATCACTACAATATAATATTGCACGTATGAAATACATCTTGCATATATAAAATAAATGGCAGAAGCTTAAAGGGAGTCCAGCACCAGGAGGACTGACAGAGGCCCTGCTCACAATAACTCCCACCCTTGTAACTTCCACGTTAGACTACTGTAACATGCTCTATGGGGCTGCCCTTGAAGACCATTCAGAAACTCCCAACTGGTATAGAATGCAACCATGCAGATAGTAAATGGTGCCAGATACACGGCACATGTAACACCACTCCAGCATGAGCTGCACTGGTTACCGGCATATTTCCAGTTGCAAGTCAAGATGCTGGTGTTACTTGTAACGGCCTATCTGGTTTGGGACCAGCGTACCGGACGAACTGCCTTTTTTCAAGAGTTTCTATCCATCCAACCAGGTCAAGCAGGATAGGCAGGCTGCAGATCCTGTCAGCCAAAGAATGTCCGCTGGTGGGGACCAGAAGACAAGCTTCTTCCTCACTGGCTCCAGCTCTATGGAACATCCTCTCTTCAGAGATTAGTGTGGTCCCTTAGCCTTTCATGAGGCCCAAAATCCTCGCTATGTTCCTGAGGCTGGGCTGCTGAATCTATCAAGGGTCCCTCTTCCTGCTGTGTTGCTGAGTGCTCCTACGTGTATTTAATTTGTATGTTTTTATTGGCCTTACTATTTTATTGTTTTAAAATGTTAACATTTTTAGGTAAGATATTTTTTCAATTGTAAGCCACCCAGAGTCATTGACTGAGATGGACAGCCCTAGAAATTGAACAAACAAACGATGATCCACTTAAACAACCAGCATGACTTACCACCATAATTCCAGGCTCAATTACAGTTGTAAGTTTAGGCCTATCTGTAACTCACATTGCTCTGGAGGTCAGACAATTCGATAGTTTCAGAAATGAATCTGGAAAATTCTAAGTGATATGTATTACAATTAATGTTACCCAAAATACAACCAAAAATGCTTGTCCCCTACTTCCTCTGTAGTTAATAACTGGTACATCAAATATGTAAATAAAACTTTGTTGTTACTTGTCTTGTAGACTTTCTCAAGTAAACAGTAAAATGCTAAAACAATCACTTCAGAAAGACAAACTTATAAGCAAATGTATAGGTAAGTTTAAGAGAAATTTGAAATGTTTGAAGGGCACATTGATTTTTTTAGGGAAACTTCTAAATGCATGCTTTCAAATAGCATCTATCTTGCAATAAGATCAGTCTGCTTAATATTTTTAGGTACATTACTCTTAAAAATTGCCATGTAAGGTTGGAATTCTAAGGGAATGTTGAGTATTAGGAGGGAAAATAGTACTGCTCATTGAAACTCATAAATAGATTGTACTATACCTTTTGAGACTTAGGAAAGCTAAAAGATTTCCAACTTCCCATTGTAGAAATTGAAACCCATATTCAGAAGCAGGAAAATATTCTAAGCTGCAAAGAAAATGAAATCGAGGAATTACATTCCTTCGTCAACAAGCAAAAGGAAATCTTAAAGTAAGTATCTCAAGCAGAAATTTCTTTCTATTATTCACTGTTGACTTCAGCCGGAGACAAATGCTTTAAAATACTTTAGCAAATTCAGTGAAATTGTATTTATCTATTTAAGATATTTGTATGGCTGCCCCTCTTTTACCATATCTGACTAGTAGGATGGGAAGATAGCCACAGAGAAAGGCAGTCCCATAAATAATCTGGCTTTATCCCAAAGGTTGAATTGCATCTGAAAAGAAGCTGGAAGCCGGTGTAGTTCATCTTGCAACAATATGGCAAACTAAAAGATGTTCAGCATTATGCAGCTGTCACATGCTACACCTGTTGTAATTTATAGGTGGTCTTCAAGGGCAGCCTCATATAGAGCAGATTGTAGTAATCCAACCAGAAAGTGACTAAGGCCTGAATGACTGAACAAAACTTCCCAGTCCAGGAATAGGCATAAATGGCTCATAAGATGGGCAAAGATCCTCCTGGCCACAGTTTCCACCTGCTCCATCCCAATTCCTTTAGGCAGCTTTGTTAAATTTTCTTGATATAATCAATTTCTTTCCATTTTAATCCTTTGTTATATGTATATTGTTTGATTTCAAACTGTCCTCTGTCTGTTAGTTCTTTAGTTCTCAAAAGGTAAACCAAAGAAAAAGCTGATATAATATTTAATGGGTCATAATATTCCTGCTTATATCTGATTTATATCCATTGTTAGTTTCCTAACTAGGTCACCTGCTTTTTATTCTTTTCACTTCATTTCTATCTGCCTTTATTTTTGACAACTTCCAGTTTGTTTTGATATAACATGGTTTAAACAAGTATATGCTCTTCCCCTTTCTTCAGTATATTCATGAGGTAATATTTAATTCAAAATTGCCATATGTTGTAAAATCACCATACTTTAACAAAATGGCTAAATTAAACATAGTTCTTCTGGATTTCTTAGATGCTGATGATGATCACAAGTAATAGAAAAGTGTGAGCCTCTTAGCAATCATACCAAAGCAAGGGAAAATATGATGGATCAAACCCAGGAGTTGAAGGATTGCTGTAATTCCTTCCTTCCTTCCTTCCTTCCTTCCTTCCTTTTCCGATAATGTATGGTTATTATGACAGCTAAACCAGCTCCATTACTGGCGAAGCACCCATATATTGTTATCACTGAAGTAGGAGTGATAATAATTCTTTTCAACAATATGTATATTGGGAATGACATTCATCCATTTATTTCTTTGACTTATTCAACATATAAAATTCTGCCTGGATACATGATCTCACACCAGCATTATATGGTAGGGGCTCTTATTATATTGTTAATGGTTATGTATTGTTTTGCAGGAAACAAGCATCTGAATTCAAAATACAGATGCAACAAGAAAGTTACATAGCAAATGTACTTGGAAAAAGGCTCAAGAAAAAAATTAAGTAACTACAGAAGTATTCCCTTAAATTACCAGCTTAGGACTGTTTTCTTACTCTAAAGAATTTTCCAGGTTTTCTCACTGAAAAGTTCACAAAATATGAAGTGTTCATTTCTCATTCTGGGCCAAAATTGAATATCCTTTATTTATACATTTGTCTAAAATAGTGGGAATACAACACCGCTATTCTGAAATCCTATTGTTTGAATGTTCTGTTTAATTCCTATCAAGGAACATAATTAATGGTGGGAAGGGCAATAAAACAACAGGACTATCTTATCCCAATTCATTATGTTGTGTGAAATATATGAGCAATTAAATGAGAAGTGTTGGACTTAGTGCAACACTTCTCATTTAATTGTTCATGTACTTCATATATTTCTTAGTGACTAAGAAATGAGCTTCTGAATTTCTCATCACTAGAAAAGACTTGAACAGTTCTGCGGATCTGAAAAGTTTTACAGATGAGGAAGAAGCAGCTAGGCAAATATAAAGATCTAATTATGAGATTGGAGCACTCTAGCTATTTTAGTATAGTACTTCACAGATTATCACAAATACTTTCTAATTTTCTCTATCTTGGAAAAGGGATTCTTGGGATTCAGGTAACCAGCTAGTTCTAGATGACATCTCCCGGAAATATGCCCTATTTTGAAGACACTACATTGGAGAAGTAATATATTTTGGCTTACCACATTTACAAAACCATATAATGTACCATTTATAGGAGGAAGAGAGACAATAGAAAAAGTGAAACCCACTTCAGACAGAAATGGTCAATTTCAGTTTAGTCTCTGCTGGTTGTTTTCCTAGTAAATGTCCACCAACTGGCCTTTATTCCATATATGATCCCCATGAATTGGTTCTCCCAGCTTACTTAGAGCTTACACCCTTGATTTATATGAGTGGCTGCGTTATGTGAGTTGAGATCAACTTTAGGTAACATTTTGGATTCTGGTTCTTCAAAATCTCATTTAATATATTGTGTTTCCCTTAAATTGTTGTGAAATTTATATGCTTTTTCAAATTAATTCCTGAGCCTTTAAATTTAGCTCCATCGGTGAACTGATCTGACCCAGGGTATCCTGTAGCATGATCTTGGCATGGCTGTAGTGGATTAGCACCTGCTGCTGTTCCTTTGCTCCCCCTTTTTGAAAAAAAATAAATAAACAACATACTTTGCTATAGTTTCCACTAAGCGCAGCCTGTTGTGTCTCATTCCACATGTTGTAAACTGATATACACATATCTATGTTTATCTGCTGGTTGGTTCGAAGAGAAAGAAAAAAAAATCTCCTATTTTATGGATATTGAACTTTAGAGGGATATTTTATATAAGGCTTGAAAAGCTATCTTTTAGCTCAAACTGAAACCTTTCTGGTCCCCTCTTTAGGAACAAATGGATGAACCTCTCCATTGTGAATTAGCCATTTTAATCAGTGTCAGGTAAACTTCAGTTAATTATCTTGGCTACATTTCAGTACTGAGGTGATGTTTGGAGAATTGGATCAATAAAGCCATGTGACATTTAAATGCTGAAACATTTGCAAGTACTTAATATTAAGCATCTTAATTTTGCATCTACTTATTAATGGAGGCTTTGTTGCTAGTACTGTTTGGTATGAACATTCAATCTTGCCACTGAAAAACATTTTCAATACTTGTATATGAAGAATGAATCAGTCACACTGACAAAGCATAACATGAGAAATTAAACACAAGATGACATGGAAAGTAAGTAAGAATGCTTGAAATTTCCTTAGTCCTGGTGAATAACATTTAGCCTAAGGTAACTCAAGAGGATTTTTTAAAAGCTATTTTATGAGCATTCAAAATAGTATTGATATTGTATGCACTGCTTCTATTATTTAAAAAAGGCGAAGACTCAACTTGATTCTGTATTTATATGGAATGTCCATCTTGTTTTCAGTCAAGGAGAAATGGCTTTCCCCTGCCTTCCAGAATATATTTGTACTTTTCAGTCTGGTTTATAGAACTGGGATTTCCATGGTCTCCCTTCCAAAATGGTATTCATCTTTAACTTCTATGCCCTGTCTAGGTCAGTACGTTCCTATTACATGCTGAGGTAATTTGTTGTAGAACAAAGTCACCTTAAAATGTATTAATCCTATGACCAGAAAAGTGTATACAGTAATAATTAGAGATGCCACATTTTATGAAACATCTCTCCTTGACAGCATACTCCATATTTGATATGGAGTAGCCAAAAGGGTTCAGAAATTCAGCCAGGTACAGCCAGATTTTCAACTTGTAAGCCAACACTGGTGAGAGCAGCTGTGCTTTCATGCTGAGCCACTTCTCTCTCATAAAGTGTCCCAGGATAAGCCAGGAGGTTTCCAGAATCACGGACCAGGTTTAAAAAATGCATCTATCTTTGCCCCAGTGAGGATATAGTATTCTATTTACCATTTAGAGACAAAGAGCTTCATGCTTTCAGCCTGGGAATCTAGGTAATCAAGAGATGGTCATTTGGGGAAAGGAATGTAGAAGCCAGAGTGTGATAAAAAATCTTTTTATTTGCATGTGCATAGTTCTGAATAGGAGAGTGAGGTGGATGTCTCCTCTCTCAAAATAATCCCTGGGAAAGATTATTTGGATGAAAGGACATGGGATCTTGGTTCCCAGGGAACGATTTATGAAAGGATACCGATGAGCTTGCTTTAAACCAAGGGTCTTCAAACTTGGCAAGTTTAAGACTTGTGGACTTCAACTCCCAGAATTCCTGACCTAACATGACTGGAGGAGGAATTCTGGGAGTTCACAAATCTTAAACTTGTCAAGTTTGAAGACCCCTGCTTTAAACTTCATTTCACCACATTCAGTGACAGAGATCACAAAAGTCATGTTCTCCATGGCTTACAGAGACCCCAAAAATGGCAGACGGAAGACATCTCTGTGAAAAGCAGAGCCAACTACCATGCTGAATGAAGAACTTATGAATAGACTGGCTCTTTGAAATCTCCAGACAAGGAGAGGACTTGAGTTTGCACACAAGTGTGCTAGATAGTTGCTCCTCATAAGGAGGTGAGAAAGTAACTAACTGTCTTTGGTGTGTTTACAACTTTGAGAGATAAGAGAATAACCATCTTGTTCAAAATGCATCAGCACCTTTGAAAGGACACTGAGTTTGCATACTTCCTTTTCTATTCACTTTTGGTAATTGCTTGCCAACTGCTTTTCAGCTACTAGAAACTTTAGGATCAACAAATTTGACAGCACTGGGTGTATTTCCTTGAATGCTTGGCTAGAGATAGTTTTAAGTACAACCTTAAAAACAAAAGGGAGATTAAAACTTTTATTTAGAAAGTTACAAATGGACTAAGAGTCCAGATAAATTTGAAAGATGATTTTGAAATTAATTATAAAAAATCCTTCCCAGAGCAAAATATTTCTGTTTTGAATTTTTAAAAAGTCCGATTTTAAAAATTGGACACTAGAGGGAAGTAAAGATTACAATTAAATAGAACACATCAACTTTTAAAATTGCGGAATTAAGCAAAATATTCTAACACTGGCTATATTGAAGGATATTGTTTTTAAAAAATGGATTCAGAAATTCATACTAGTAGTATGGAAAGACTGTGTCTAAAAGATGTTATGGAAGAGGAACAAGTTTTACCTGACAAGATCAAGTCTGATTGAAAGGGGTTTATAAATGACAGGCTACAAGAATGACATGGAAAAAGATGCTACACCAGACATATGAAAGAAAACTGATGTTTTAATAATTAAGAAATATACAAACAATAAACCAAGATGGTTATACCACTGTGCTGGTGCCATAGATGGCATGCAGAGCCGTCTCTGTGGGCATACGCACTGTTGCTAGCTGGTCTTCGAGTTTCTAGTGCTCTGGAGTGCGTGCATGCGTGTTTTCCGGTTTGAGCATTTAGTTCCGAAAAGGTTCACCCTCACTGTTACACCATCTCATTGTGAGAAAGACTTCTGCTAATGCTGCCACAGATTAAGTGGCCTAAGGCCAAGCCTAGCTAGGACATAAATCTCTTCCTTTGAATGAGATAAATTATCCTTTTTGCCATATATGACAAGTCCAATGCAGTACAATTAAGAGCTCCTGTTAGCAAATTGGATATTTGCACTCTCAGGGCCTTTGTAGACCCACCAAAGGAGCACAGCTTAGATAGCCTCTTCCTGCCCCACCCCATACCAGTTGAATCCAATCCTCCAAGGGACAACTGTCAGATTGAACTCGCTCTCTCAGCTGTCACAGTAGGAACTCTTCCAAGTGCTGTACATAGGTAAGTGGCAATTCGTTACTATTCCTGTTGTTTTGCCTGGCATGAAAACCTCATGGCATCCAGGGATATGAGAGTTGTGAATAATGACCTATAATTTCTCCAAACAATAAATCAGCTTAAATATCCAACATGGGGCTCTGAGACAGTAATAGCAGTTCAAAGACACAATAATGGAATTGAGGCAAGTAACCATAGCAAGCCGTGCCCATTTTTAACCCCCTGTAACCGATTGTGCCATGATTCTCCCTTGTTCCACTGACCTGATCTGAAATTATAAATTGTAATCTAATTAGAGAAGATAATAGCGACAGAAAACTCCTCACTCCGTATGGAGTGTGGTTTTCATCTGCAGTATTGTGGTACTTCTAAGTAGGTGATAAAACTTTTATGAGAGAGGGTCCTTGCCATATTCATTTTTTTTTACTACTGGTTACATGGATGTGGCTTGGTGGGCATGGCATGGGTTGGTGGGCATGGCAGGGGAAGGATACTGCAAAATCCCCATTCCCTCCCCACCCTGCTAGCCTGCTTTCCAGCTCTGTTCTTCTGTGCAGGGCAACAAAAGAAGATCTAGCCAATCAGCTGGGACTCGGGAGGCAGAGAATAGGTGGGGGGGAGGGGCAGCCAGAGGTGGGATTTGCCGGTTCTCAGAACTACTCAAAATTTCCTCTACCGGTTCTCCAGAACCGGTCAGAACCTGCTGGATACCACCTCTGGTCCTTGTGAAATAAGGCAGTGCTTTGATGACCAGAGATGATGTGAGCTTCCACTCTCCTAGCCTTTCGGAAGTATCTGAAGACCTGGTTCTGCAGATTGGCTTGATGCTTGAAGAAGACACACAAATTTAGGGTCAGTTAGGGTCTTGAAGGTCCCCCACTTTTTTTCTGGCTCTTTAATGTTAATTACAAGAAGTTCTTGACTTACAACAGTTCATTTAGTGCCCATTGAAAGTTACAACGGCACTGAAAATGTGACTTATGACTGTTTTTTCACATTTATAACCTTTGCAGCACCCCAATGATCATGTGATCTCAATTCAGATGCTTGGCAACTGGTTCATATTTATGACTATTGCAGTGTTCCAGGGGACACGTGATCCCTTTTGCGACCTTCTGGCAAGCAAAGTCAACGGGGAAACCAGATTTATTTAACAACTGGGTTTCTAATTTAGCAACTAAAATGATTCACTTAACAACTGGGGCAAGAAAAGTCTAATGTGGGGCAAAACTCACTTAACAAATGTCTCACTTAACAACAGAAATTTTGGGCTCAATTGTTGTAATTTGAAGATACCGTATAATATTCCATTTCTGCTTTAACTGCCTCCTATTGGAACATAGTATTGATATGGGTTTTTAAAATGTTTCTAATTGTCCAATCCCCAGAGTTGCTCTGTGAGTGAAATGGGCAGCCTCCAAATTTGACATATACGTGAAATAACAATAACTCTATTGAATTCTACTGTATAGTACACTGAAGATGGTATTTAATTTCATTGTACGATGTGCAATGACAATAAAGTAAAGTAAATAAATAAATAAAATGTCATGTTTTGCTTGTAACCAGACAATTGTTCAACTAGTATGGAAAAGAACCCCATGATCAGATTATAGGCCTCGTTGTTGGATCAAGCCAGCCTGTAATACTGAGGGTCAGAAGGGAGAGAAAGCAAATAATGTTTATAAGCTTATTCAACAAAGCTGATGAAAGTAACGATAATGTTCTAAGAAAATCAGGGAGTGAAAAAGGATCTCACTCCTTCCCTTCACAAAGGAGCAGCAACTACATTTCTAGCCTCCCTCCAACTTGCTTGTTTTGACACACATATTTCTTCTGCAAGTGGGTGTTTCTGGATGCTTGCTTGGTATTGTATACATTCTTTCTGGTAAGCTGCTATGGAGGGTAGGACTCATCTTAGAAACTATTAACAAATACACCAAGAGACACATCAAAGGTTTTCTACCGGTTGGTCCTGCTGAGCATCCCAGCAGTGTTTGAATCAAGGGCTTTTCCTGCAAAAGCTGCAATGACAATGGCGCATTTCTAAGATGGATTCATTTAACAATAGCTAAGGTAAAGGTTCCCCTTGCACATACGTGCTAGTCATTTCGGGCTCTAGAGGGTGGTGCTCATCTCCGTTACAAAGCCGAAGAGCCAGCGCTGTCCGAAGACGTCTCTGTGGTCATGAGCAAACGCTGAAGGCGCATGGAATGCTGTTACCTTCCCACCAAAGTGGTCCCTATTTTTCTACTTGCATTTTTACATGCTTTCAAACTGCTAGGTTGGCAGAAGCTGGGACAAGTAACGGGAACTCATTCCGCTACACGGCGCTAGGAATTCGAACCACCGAACGGCCGACCTTTCCAATCGACAAGCTCAGCGTCTTAACCATTGAGCCACCACTAAGAACAGTGAATTAGGGGCTGGGGAGAATTAGCAAGCAGTTTTCCAATTAAAAAAACAAAACAAATGCCTGACAGGCTGAATGAATTTGTGGGGACGTAACTTCATGCCTCTTGAAGCAATCTGATCTTCTGGCAGCAGCTCTTCAAACTTTCAGACAGACATTTTTTCAGTCCTATCTGGAGACACCAGAAAGGGAGCGAGGTCTTCTCTATGCAAAGCATTTGGCCTGCTATGAAATGGAATGAAGAGGGCAGGAGTGTTCTAGCAGCAAGTGGTCACAGTGTCAACTTTCTGTCCTGACCGGAGACCAGGAATAAGGGTGAAGCAGGAGGGGGTGGCTTCCAAACTGCCTTAGTAACAAGCCAGAAGTCCCAATTTGGACACCTCACTTAAACACCCTCTGAAAAGAGCTTCTGCTGGCAGGAGAAACCAAGTGGGAGAGGCTGAGAAGCAGAATATCACTATGTATGCATGCACTTTGTTCTAACATGGGCCCAGGAAAAAAATAATAAAACAGAAAAAAGACAACTGGAGTGTGAAACCCATCCAAAGGCACTTGTAGACCAAATGAAGAGATCATTTCATTTTGTGCCTATTCAAACTCTGTGCTTGCCAGCTTTGGTGTTTTTTGTTTGTATCATAGATAGATAGAATAATATAATTCTTTATTGGTCAAGTGTGATTGGACACACAGGAATTTGTCTTGGTGTAAATACTCTAAGTATACATAAAGAAAAGGTACATTTGTTAAGAATCAAGAATCAACACTTAATGATAGTCACAGGGTACAATAAGCAATCAAATCATACTAGGAAACAGTCAATATAAATCGTAAAGATACAAGCGACAAAGTTACAACCACACAGTCACAAGTGGGAGGGGATGGGTGATAAGGAGTGATGAGAAGATTAACAGTAATAGTAGTGTACATTTTGTAATAGTTGAACAGTGTTGAGGGAATTATTTGTTTAGCAGAGTGATGGCTTTCAGGGGAAAAAAAACTGTTCTTGTGTCTAGTTGTTCTGGTGTGCAGTGCTCTATAGCATCGTTTTGAGGGAAGGAGTTGAAACAGTTTATGTCCGGGATGTGAGGGGTCTGTAAATATTTTCATAGCCCCTTTTTTGACTCGTGCAGTATACAGGTCCTCGATTGAAGGCAGGTGGGTAGTAATTGGTTTTTTTTGCAGTCCTAATTCTCCTCTGAAGTCTGTGTCTGTCCTGCTGGGTTGCAGAACCAAACCAGACAGTTATAGAGGTGCAGGTGCTAGATTCAATAATTCCTCTGTAGAACTGGATCAGCAGCTCCTTGGGTAGTTTGAGTAAGCAAGTGTAAGCAAGTGTGGACTTTCGCTGACTTATTTGCCTGGTTTT